GCAATGGCCTCATCTTCCCCGCCGTAGCCGGCGCCCCCCGCCTCCACACCCCCATGTACTTCTTCCTCCTCAACCTCTCTGTTCTTGACCTGGGCTCCATCTCCACTACTGTCCCCAAAGCCATGGCCAATTCCCTCTGGGACACCAGGGACATCTCCTATGCAGGATGTGCTGCACAGGTCTTTCTCTTTTTCTTTGCTGTTTCAGTGGAGTATTTTGTTCTCACCATCATGGCCTATGACCGCTACGTTGCCATCTGCAAACCCCTGCACTACGGGACCCTCCTGGCCAGCAGAGCTTGTGTCCACATGGCAGCAGCTGCCTGGGCCAGTGGGTTTCTCAATGCTCTCCTGCACACAGCCAATACATTGTCACTGCCCCTCTGCAAGGGCAATGCCCTGGACCAGTTCTTCTGTGAAATCCCCCAGATCCTCAAGCTCTCCTGCTCACACTCAGACTACCTCAGGCAAGTTGATCTCCTTGCTTTTAGTGCTATTGTATTCCTGGGGTGTTTTGTTTTCATTGTGGTGTCCTATTTGCAGGTCTTCAGAGCTGTGCTGAGGATCCCCTCTGAGCAGGGACGGCACAAAGCCTTTTCCAGGTGCCTTCCTCACCTGGCCATGGTCTCCCTCTTTATCAGCACTGGAGTGTTTGCCTACCTGAAGCCCCTCTCCATCTCCTCACGAGTTCTAAATCTGGTGGTGGCAGTTCTGTACTCAATGGTTCCTCCAGCAGTGAACCCCGTCATCTACAGCACGAGGAACCAGGAGCTCAAGGATGCCTTACGGACACTGATAGCTGGATGGTTTTCATCAGCCATAGAGTGCCTCCTTGCCTCTGCAAATGATTCCATGTGTATATCATGACAAGCCAAGTCTGTCTTTCTTTTTTTAACATTTTTTCTCCTTTTCCAGTTGTGATGTTGTCGTCTTCAAAGAAATGTCATTATTCATCCCTTCTTCCTTATGTCTCCACCCATCTTGGTTGTCCCAGAGACTTTGTGTAAATGCAGACTCTCTCCTTGTATTGAAGTGAAATAAATGAACCTGCAGAACTTTTTTCTGTCTGAGCTCCATCCTCAGAGTCACAGGAGTGAATGGGAAATGCCACCACCTTTGTGTCTGCCCCAGCCTTGGGAAGGCTGCTCTGTGCCTGGAGCAGTCAGAGCTCTTGAGGACCGCAAGGCCCAGGGCTTTTGTGCTGGGCTGGGGAGAGGGGAAGGCACGGAGGGGCTGCAGCCCTCTTGGGACCTCCTGGGGAGGAGAGCAGGGGACACAAGGTGCCTCCTGTTCCATTCGCTGTGCATGTATACCCATCTCTGGGGCTGAGTCGCCTCTGTCCCCAGCAGTTGCTGTGCCCTTCAGGGGGGCGGAGGCTGTGGTGCGCCTGCCCAGAGTCCCCCACAGTGGGCACT